AGGATGCCATGTAACTTCTGAGTTGTCACATGAGGTGACACAGCTCTCAGGAGTGTCCCTCTGCTCGCTCCTGGGGTGTTTGCCACTGAGGCTCCACCACTATGCTGCGGGACAGCAAGCAGTCCCTGGCGAGGCCCTTGCAGGAATTCCATCTGGTGGCCCTAGTATAGGTGCTTACTGTTAGCTGGCATCAGCTGCCCGATGTGCAAGCACATGAGCCTTTGAACATTTCAGTCTCTTCTTGTCATTTGAGCCACCCCAACAGAGGTGAGCTGCCATCACCAAACCCCCTGCCCAAGCTGCAGATCCAGGACCACTCTGAAGGGCCATCCCAGTCTTAGAGTGTCCCGTGGGAAGCTATGACTATGCATGTGAGAGGTCACATGTGAGTATGGCGGTCAGGGGAGCAGTTGGAGCCAAAGATGATCATTTGGGAGATACCAGAATGGACATAGTTTTAAAAGTCTTGGGTCTGCGTGATAGGACCTGGGGAAAGTAGAGAAGAAGGAGAAGGTAGAGGGCTGGGCTTGGAGCCCTCCATCATCTTGACAGATGGCAGAGAAAAGGGAGCCAGCAGAGACAAGGAGGCGGAGACAAGTCAGCTGTGTGTGGTGCGGCAACAGCTGTGAGAGGAGGGTGCGCCACAGGAGAGTGCTGCTGGGAGCTGGAGAACAGGACACCAGGATGTTTCTGCGGTCAGATGCCATGAAGTCATCGGTGACCTGTCAAGAACAGTGCTAGTGCAGAGCAGAGAGTGAAAGCCAGGGGAGTGGCCTGGAGAGGTCACGATAGGAAGTGTTGACAGAGTGTAGAGCACTGGTGGGGGTCAAGTGCCAGTGGGACTACTTCTTTGTCCGGCACTACTTCCTTGTCCGGCAGAGAGGGCTGGCACATGCAGGGAGATCTGTGCCTGGCAGCAGGGCCATTAAGGGCTTTGCTGAGCCCTTGTGCAGAGAAAGAGCACTGCTATAAAAGATTCCAACCCCAACCCTCCTAGTCTGTGTCCAGAGGGTCAATCAACAAAACCCACAAAGGAAGTCCTGACCTTCCCCTTCTCAGAGTTCCAGCGTCTCCTCGCACATTCGCTGTCATGTGGGTCTCCAGACTTGCCTGCCCAGTGGGAAAATGGGCTCCTGAGCAGGACTTTTATTCATGTTCTCTGCAGTTCTAGGAAGTGCTTGGTCCCTAATAGATGTCCGCTCTATGCTCACTGATGGGGAACTTGTCAATTTTGTCTAACAACCCAGCACTGGTGGGCTACCCAGGAATCGAAGCCGCTCATAAAGAAATGACAAGCCGGCAGAGTGTTAAAAGTCAACCCGCTAGAGAGATCAGAACACTCAGGGGCAGGAAGGGAAGTTTCTAATAAGTCCTGGAGACAGGTGGGTGAGGGTTCTTGAGAATTAATACAAGTTACATGTTTCCCAGTGTCCAGGGGACTATGGGCAGTGTGTTGTCTGTTAAACAATTTATCTTTCTGCATGAAATTTCTGGGTACTGCTTCAGTCTTAACAGAGGACTCCGTTGGTCTAAATTGTTGGGTGGAGAACTCTCTTTCCTGACTCCCTCCTCCCCTCAGAGCTGTGACATCCCGAATGGGGTCCAAATGACTGTAGCTGTCCCTGTAGTGATGGTGAGGTGCCCTTGCCATATCTCCAGTCCCAAAGGTTGCAGGGCCAGGACTTACCCTCACACCTACTGGAGCAGGGAAGTGTGAGAGCTGTCAGCAGGGTTTTGGGGTGCTGATAGTGGAAGAGCCTGACTGGAGGGAGCAGGTGCCTGTTCTGGCCTGGCCAGGGCCTGGGCTCTGCAGCACAAATCATTCACTCCCATGGAGCATGGGTCGCTCTGCCAGCAAAGGGGCTTCTCTGCGTCAGATGCACCGGCTCATGGCACAGCTGTCAGACCCTCACGGCCCCACCCAGAGTTTTGCAACCACACAGGGATGAGTCCCAGGACCGAATGATTTGTTAGCACTCACTTGGAGAGATGCAGCCACCTGCCAGAACTGCATTTACCAGTGACCTCTGACACCAATTCCAGCTGTGGCCGGCAGGCTGTGGCTCATTGCAGCCAAGTCCCCGGCTAGCCAGGTGACCGCTGCAGCAGGGAAGGACACAGTCTCCCCAACAGCCCTTGAGGACTGGCTTTTGTCTTTTACTTCACAGACAGCTGAAAACTGTTATGGAAAAACATTTTATTACACATATTCAACTTGCTTCCAATGAAATGATTAATTTTTCATGTATAATGGCGTTCAATGTTTGTCTTCTGTTTTTTTCCTTTCAAAACCAGCACCAAAAAGTAAAACAAAAATACCATGGGTACAGTATGCAATGTGAATTAACTAATGGAAAATATATACATTTGACTTTGAAATGAAAAAAAAAAGAGCAATGATATTATGGCTGTAGTGGATTTTTTTTCCTGTGTTCTGCTAATATCAAGTCATGGTCAACTGCGAGGGTTTCATTTTGCACCAATAAAAATAGCACCATAAAACTGTGAGCCTCTAGTTAGGGACACATGTGCAACCACAAAGGTACAGTACTTGAGTGACAGTACAGGGCATGGTTAATACTACAGAAACATCACTCCTGTCATCAAAGTTTCAATGTCTCTGTAAAAAGTGGAAGAAGAATGTTATGATGGTTTCACTGAAATAAATCATCACTGGTGCCATAAACAGAAGGCAGGCTGGTAGATCTCAGAGTAACAATGCTAGCATGAGCTAGAGCCCAGAAAGACGCGGGCTTCGGGGAACAGATGGGGTGATCGTCTTCATGAGGTGGGGACCCCTGCCATGGGAAGCCAGTTGATACAGCCAATGTGGCCAGGGGGAAAATTCAGAAGCACCAGGAAAGTGCCCATCTGTGGACACATGCTCAGGTGGCCCCTTGGCCCATGCAGGTGAGCGAGGTTGCGGGCTTCTTTGGCGCCACAAGTCTAACGACTTTTGGTGAATTAACAGCTCATCTGGGGCTGAGGAAAAATGAAACTCCAGCTCCCCAGTAATGTGAGGGTTTTGTAGAAACAGGTTCTGGGGAGGCTGCTGGTGGCCAGGCTTGAGCTGGGGAGGACAGCATTTTGCACAGGTCCTGGGTCCTCTGCAGGGTGGGCCACTCCAACCTGACATTCTCTGTTTTTTCCTCAGAGTACCTAAGGAAGCTTCTCAACATTTCTCATTGATTCAAGTGAAAGTGAATAAATTCCCTGCCATCCCTACCAATTCTCTGCCTCTGGGGTAGTAAAAATAAAAAAAAGTCCATAAGACAGGGTTGAGAAGGCAGAGAGGGGTATTTTTTTTTCTTTTCTTTCTGATTTAAACTAAACCTAAGGTTGTGACATTAAACAAAAAACAGAAATATAAACATAAACACAGCACCAATAAATCAAGCACTTGGAGATGTTCCCATGGAAATTAGCCCAAGTGAAATCCTGTCTCAAATCAGGGGAAGGAAGGCGGGTTTCTCATGGTCAAGTCCTAGAACATAAGCACCCATGAAATTGCCCACCAAGATGGTGAACAAAACAGACCTGGCGCCTAGGGTCTCTGCTCCCAGCCTGCCTGCCCTCCTGGGATGGGCAGGGTCCCACCATCTGTGCTCTCAAAGAGGCTGCCCTGCTTATTTCTCTGAGCTTCTGAAGAGGGCAGAGCTCTGTTGTGAGGGGTGTGAGGGCTGTAGGAGGAAAAGACTTTCTTCATGCCTTTCAGGTATTATCCTTGCCCCACCAAGAAGCTGGGTCAATAATGACAGTCGTGATGATAACAGGGACTGCCAAGTCTGGGCTACAGGAAGGTTTGGTGGGCGCACAGCAGACCCAGCTGGGCAGTGTTCCTTCACTGGTCCCCTGGCACACCAGGATAAGCCATAAACAGAAGGTGGGCTGGTGGATCTCAACAATGCTAGCGTGAGGAAACCTGCTCCAGGATGAAGCAGTCAGAACTTACTCTGCAGATCCCAGGACTGAGCTTACGTCCTCAGAAGTCCCAATTGTAATTTTAACTTCAGATAAATGGCCAAGGTCAATGGAAAGCCACTGGGATCTCTAAGGCACAAAGCTTTTCGAAGTGTTAGCCAGAGTGGATGCCCCCAGAAGGCAGAGGGGGAGGCCCCTATGCCCCTCACAAAGCTGTCCTCAACTCACCTTTACATTATAAAGCAATCCGATGGCCACAACAAGCACGTGTCCCATTTCACAGCACCCTGAAGAAAGGCTCTTCTGTTTCCCTACATGGTTGACAGCAGAGCTCCGAAAATTGGATACTTTCCCCAATCCAGACCCTTCGAGAATATTCTCCCCACGTGGGTAGTGTGGAGAGCTGCGTGGTGCTGGGGTCCTGCCAACTGTGTAGGTTGGCCTACGCAGATTTGAACATGGGACAAGACTTCCAAGGCAAGTTCAAGGATTTAGAGGGTTTGTTCTCAAGACTAGTAGAAAGGAGAAAGACAACATCCTGCTTCTGGTGTGGTCAAGAAGGCAGATGATTAGGAATGTGGACTCCGGCAACCTGGCCCTCTCCAGAGAAGCCATTGGTAGAGGCTCGCCAACATCTGTCCTTCCATCTGGGGTGTCTTCGGCTTTCAGAGTAAAGCCTTTTCTAGTGTATAATGTCTCATTTTCAGGATATTCCCTCCATGGTACATCAAGCACTGGGAATTCAAACGTCCAAAGCAAGCCAAGACAGAAGCACCAAACAACGTCTCTCTCTTTTGACAACTGTCTGCCAGAGGTGTTCCCCTTTGAGGTACATGGAATCCAGGAAATTATAATTATTTTGTGACTCATGCCTTTTTTTCCTCCTTACTGTAGAACGCCATCCAGTGGCTGTTAACAACATATTAAGTACAGAAGCACTAACGGCAAACATCAAGTTCACTCTCAAGTTCTAGGTGGTTGGATTCTTGGGGGAGTGGCCACGGGGCTGGTACCCTCTCGGGTGGGTAAGTGGACTTTCCATTTGCCAAATGCCAGGTCTCAGACCTCATATCTGAGTGCTGAGCGAACCCTGGGCTGCCCGTCAGGAGCTCGGTGGCGGTGGCTGGCGCATCTTGTTTGCATAGAAGTCCCTGCAGGTCTGGCAGCAGCGCTGGTACCACCGCATGTCCTGGCAGAGGTTCTTTTCTCGGATGACCCGGCAATACACTGTCCACTGGTCTCGCGTGCATTTGTAGGTCAGCGCAGCTGAGGAGAGAGAGTAGAGAGAGAATGCCCAGGGATCTGGAGTGGCATGGGCACATCCTGACGCATGCACAGAGAGGGCTGGTGGTCTGACAGTTTGGGCTCCCTCACCCTTGTGCACATGTCAGCCTAGTGCAGACTGGCGAGGCCATGCCTCCTGCCAGGAGCACTGTGGATGCCACTTTCTGCTAAAGGGGACATATGTCTGCAACTAACCCAACCACCTGACAGAGTATGAGGGTCGGCTGCCTCTTCGGGAGGAAGGCACTGGCCACTCTGCTTCTGAGCTAAGTGGTACTTACTGTTATCTTGTGGCAGGTGATACCATTACTTTGGCATTTCTAAAACGAGATGATATGAAGTAGTGGACATCAAAGGACTCACAAAAGCATGAGGTCAGGGCACAAATGAATGGGCCCAATCTCCTTCAGGGTCTTGGTCATGCAGAAAAAGCCCTGCTCAAAGGAGGTCTTAGGAGGATACAAGGCAGGGTCGTGCCTGCAGCTGTCACGACACTTCCTCAAGTTCAATAAAGCTGCTTAGAAAGCCCCTTCACTCTGGTAGGGTTCCAGTGTTGGGGAAAGGAGCTTCAGGATAGAAAATATTTTCCAGAGATGTCTATTTGGAAAAGCAGAAACTCTTTTAAAAGGAATCATCAGGGTCCGAGCATCCAGGACCAAGTTTTTCCCAAAGAAGCTCAGATCTCTCCACCGTGTCTGCTTCTGAAGCATCAGCCTAAGGGTATCCAATGTACACATCCTCAAGGCCCCATGCATGATGCCCCTGAAGCCTTCATTTCCAGAAAGAAGCACTTCCTTTTACCCACCTCATGCACAGGAATTCTAAAATGTTTGAGGGACATTCTCCTGTGTTGGGCAGAGGGGTTAGTGGGACACTCAGGGTACTGTGTTTGAACAAATGTCTCTTTCGTGACAAAGAATGGCATTCTATCTCTGAAACCTCTTATCTTCTGTAGAACTGACAGATGTTAGCCTTATATGACATATAATGCCCTAGAGGACTTTTCTGCTAACAGAATTCCACCAACAGTGAGGACCAAGAACCCCCCAGAAATCAGGGCCAGTGAAGGAACTCACCGAGGCGAGGAGAAGTGATGGTGTTGGCGTTGATCTTGTCATTGCAGACCTCCTGATGGCATTGTCTGTAGGCTGCCGGCTTCAAGAGGGCGGGGCACTCGCTGCCATGGCGCCCAGTGACCTTGTGCATGCACTGCACCACACGGGACTGCAGTCCCTTCCCACAGGTCGATGAGCACTGCCGGGGACAGGGACAGCCTGAGCTGGGGAACAAGACTGGACAGGGGGCTGGGATGATGGCCATACCATGCAGCTGCCTGAACTGTCACTCCCAGGTGTTGACAATAATTCAGGGCAAAAGTAACAGCTGCCTGATGTGAGACTGTTTCAAGATGTTATGGACTGCGTTTGTGTGTCTCCCCTCAAAATGCTTATGTTGAAGCCCTAATGCAAATGGGATGGTATTAGGAGGTGAGGCCTTTTTGAGGTGATCAGGGTTAGATGAAGTCATGGAGGTAGAGTCCCCATGATGGGATTAGTGCCCTTAGAAGAAGAGAAAGAGACGAGCTCTCTTGCCCCACCATGTGAGGATATAATGAAAAGACTGCCGCCTGCAAACTAGGAGAGCCCTTGCCAAATACTGGATTTGTCAGCATCACGATCTTGAACTTCCTGACCTCTCAGGCTATGAGAAATAAATGTCTGTTGTTTAAGCCATCCAGTCTTTGATGTTTTGTGATAGCAGCCTGAGCAGGTTAACACATTAGAAAACTACTGAAATATTAATTCAATGCTGGCTGCATTTCCCCTCCTGCCTGTGTTCCAAGCAAAGAGCTGGGCTTTGAAATTTTTGAGATGACAGGCTTGGTGACGCTGTGGTTCAGTGGCCCCCAGGAGGGACTGGACCTGATTACCATGGGGTCTCCCAGCACTTTCTGCTCCATGAAGCTCTGGGGCCTTTGCCCAGTCCTGGGTATGACGAGCCCAGTAGTGATTGGAATTGAATTTCCCACAATGGAGGGTTGAGGCTTAGAATTAAGTTAAAGAAAATAAAGTGCAACCTTTCTTGCAAAACAGAGTCATGAACTAATGTATGTGGCTAACGGTGTTAATTTAGATGCCACATTCCCAGGTGCCGGCATGAGCAGGTAGAGTTTGCTAAAATCAGGTCAATATAGCTGAGAGGATGATCCCAAATTCCCCAAAGGTGAACCTGGTAAGACTTTATTCTGTGACTCTATTCTCCCTCCCGTTCCTCTTCATGCTTTTTAAAGTATTTCCCAGGCAGGACCTGGCCAGGTATCCAAGTCCTCCACCCAGACTCTGCTCTCTGAGTGCCTCAGCCCAAGCTCACTCTCCTGGGAGACCTTGGGACTGTCTCTTCAAGTTGGCATCTTTCCAGGAAGAGCCAGGTTCATGTGTGCACTTCCTCTGTTGGCGTCCACCAGCACTGCACAACCTCTGATTTATAGCGTTCTGAGAGCACTCTGCAAAACTTTAATAAAGGCCACGATCCAGCAGCCCAGCTGGAGTTAATAATGGCACCTCAGGGTGGAGAGAGGGCAGCAGGGGCATGCCACATGTGGTGAGAATTCCGGGTCCCGTCCGGATCCTGTGCTTCCCCACATCCTCCTCTTTGGGCCTGATCACAGCTTTTGCTGGAGGAAGGGCCTTCCTGGGGGGCTGTGAGGAGTTACCCAGTACAGGCTCAGCCGGAAACCATGGGGTTACCATCTGTGACCAAGTGGGCATTCTCTCTTCCACCTCTGTGAGCCAGGTGATTCCCTCCGCTTTCTTGTCTGACAAGCAGATTCATGTTTAAAAAAATTTTTTTTTTAAACTTTAGAAGGATACTCAGAGGGAATGTTACCCTAAAGGGGCAGCAGTCTTCAAATTATAAGAGAGAGGTGGGAAAACCATGAGCGCTCCCCTGCGAACAAGGCATATTTAAGTCAGAATGGGCTCTGTCCCCACAGGTAAGGCTGACCCCAGGACCTCTGCTTCATGCTTTGCTCCTTATTCCAGATAAACCCATCAGAAACTGCTTATGGCCCTGCGAATTCACCCTGTACATCTCAGATGCAGATTTCAAGGCTCCATCTCAGTCTGCAGGAGTTATCACTGGGGCACCTAGAAGCTTGAGGGGTGCTGAAGTTGTAGGGTGAAGTCCCACAAAGAGGTTTCCACCCACAGGGAGACCTTGAACACAGGACAGGTGCTACAGCAACATGAATTCTGCCTTGGGGTGTAGGATGTGTCTCAGAGAAAACTGGCTGCAGGTTGGGATCTACTGCGTGGAGTTACCTGGTGGGCTTTAAAAAATCCTGATGTCCCAGATCGATAAAATTTGACTTCTGGTGGTGGTGGTGGGGAGGAGTGGCAGACATCGGTGCTTTTAAAACCTTTCCAGGCAGCTGCAATGGGCATCCAGAACTGACAACCTCTACCCTAACCCCAACTTCCTCCCAGTGCCCTGTGGAAAACACAGAGAGCTCTCCTTTCTTCCTATGAAGTAGTAGTTGTGTATTTACATACAAATATGCATAATTAAGCTGCAGCCCTGACCGCTGAGTTTATATACAAATGTCAGATGTGCTTGAATATAAGGAAGCAGAAACTGTCGCTCAAACTTATTCTTACAAAAAGTTGCCATCTATTTAAGTAAGAACAAAATCTCCCACAGTTCGGGGGTAGGGGTGGGTGCTCTCAATTCTTTTGAAGTCAAAGTACTGCTTGGGAAAATGCCATGAACCTAATGACCTCATTTGAGGTTCATTATAGAGCCCATAGAGATCACGTGGGGGTTAAAAAACATAGGTGACAAAAACATAGGTGTCAAAAGAAAATAGGTGACAAAAAGTTTAACTGTCTTCTTCTGGAGACAGGCCTTCATAATCACAAAAGAAGGAAGATGGTATAAGAAATATTTAAAGACCACTTGCGAAGGCAATCTGAGAAGTGGTTCTACTCAGAGTCTGAGAGTCCACACAAACACAGTGAATGAAGGAGAAGGCCAAGGGCCCTAATGCAGCACCAAGTCCTGCCGACTCAGAGCAAGCCACACCCATATAGCACAAGGCCACACCCATGCAGTGAAAAACCATACCCACACAATGAGAAACTACAATGTAGGGTAAAGCCACACGCATGCTACACAAGGCCACGCCCAGGCAGTGCAAAGCCACGCCCACACTGTACAAATCTACAATGCAAAGCCAGGCCAGTGCTGTGTGGAGCCATGCAACAGCTTGTGAGGAATGTCCACCAAGAGCAGCACACACAGTCAGAAAGGGCAGCATCCGAGTAAAGTCAGATGTAACCATGTGTCCTCTGGCAAAGGTGACTCAAAGAGGAGCTGGTGAAATGAGACAGACATTGCAAGTATTAGCTTGCACCGTACACAGCTGCTTATAGTCAACCATTTTGACCCCACCAAAGCAGCCATTTCATAATAAGGTTCAATTTTATAACACACTAGAGAAAGAAAACAGCGGCATTTCTGAAGTCAAATACGTTTTAATGCATCACTTTAGATATGAAAGTATAACTACAGTAATAAGCTACATGTTTTAAATAGGCATTTGACTAGTCTACCTAAACCATTAAAGACTTTAAAATCGAAATTGGTCATATCAGTAAAAAGCCCTGCTCCATGGGAAAACAGGAGGTTACCATATAATTAGGGTTTATTTCTGTGACTATTTGGCATGTCTGAGGCCCACTTTTGGAAAAAAGGATGTATTTGTTGGTCTACAGGCAACAATAACATCCTTTTTCTCTTCAGATCCTTACTTGGACCATCAGCCATGGTGCCATCTACTGTAAGACAAGCACCCAAGAGGGAAAGCTAGGTATCTTCATGGTCCTTCTTGGAGAAGGGAAACGGCACAGGCTAACCAGGGAGTTCGTCTTGCTTCCTTGCATCTCCGGACTAGGAGGTGCCCTGGCCCTGCTGGCTGGGCAAGCAGCCTGGCTGAGTTACTTCTCTTTCAAAGCTCAGCCCTGCATGAATGCTGGGAGGCGCTTCCATCTCTTCTGCAGATGTCACTGATATGTATAAGAAGCTCATAAAAGGGTAAGGGCTTGATCCTGTAGGTCTATTAAAACCAAGTACAAAATTGACAAGGTCTCTGCCCCAAAATGATCAGTAAAACTCAGGCATTTGGGGTGACCTTGAAAACGTCCCATCTGAAAGTTCTTAGTCTTACTCAACCTGCCCTGGGGCTGAGAGGAAGAACTAGCACATGTCATGTCTCCAGCACATGCAGGTGGCGTGCCAGACTTTCTGTGGGCTGCCTTGTAGGATTCCACAGTGATGTGGAATATTCCACAACAATCCTCAGAGGCCACTGAACTCAGCAGGGGTCAGTGTCTTGCCCAAGGTCCCAAAAGAAGGACAGGACCCCAGTGGCCCATCCCACGGGCTGAATTCTAACCTTTGGCATGAATTAGAGGTTTCACTGAATGGAGCTTTGATGGGAGGCGGGAATCAAAAAACCAGGTCACTGCCCATCTCCACCATTTACTCATTATCTTTCCTAGCATGGGTCACTGGCTTTTAATTTTTCAGTCTATAAAAATAACTCTTCTATGAGATCATGGAAGGGTGTCTCAAAAGTCCTTCAGCAGGAATTGGTGTCTGTTTTCACTGCTCTCCAACGCCCCCATGAGACAGGGCCAACCAGATAAATGGCAGGGTTGGGAGGGAGTTCCCAATGGCTCTGCCCCCTGTGTGGGGATACTGCTTTCATCAGGATTAGGTTTTACTAAATTCTAGCTGGAGTCCTAGGGGATGCTGTTCCCATAACTGAGGGTTGTGAGTGGCTTGGGCTTACGAGGAAAAGTTTTTGAGACTTTGAGGCATGGGCCTGGGAGTTGCATCTGAGCCAGCCCCGCAGAGGATGCCTCCATGTGTTAGTTGGGAAGACAAACAGGTTACAAAGTGGCACATACAGATGTCATCCCATTTTTGTTCAATGTAGATGTGTGTGCACTTATGTAAAAGTTTGGAAGACAAACCATTAAAAAGTTTTCCATGTTATCACATGATTTCTGGGACTAATGTTCTTTTTTGCGTGTCCTATAAGAAGAATTACCCTTGTAAGTAATAATAACCATGGAGAATTCTGCCAACAACCCTCTGGTGTCCCACCTTCCACAGCGGCTGCATTTTTATTTGGTTTGAGGTGGTGCTGAGCCTGCCCCGGCCTAAAATCCACAGATAACACAACATCTCCT